GCCGCTCTTCATCGGACGCGCAACCCACGAAGGAACCATCACCGTGGGCAAGGTGCAGCCCTCCCACGGATGCTGCTACATTCCCTACGGCGGCGAGGAGCTGGCCTACAAGGAGTTCGAGATCTACGTGGCCAACTAAGCTCGGATCCGGATCGGGATCGAATGTCCAACGCACTGAAATACACACAATTGTTAATCTGAGCGCTTTACAGTTCAACTGGTCGCAGAAATTTTATTTATATTTGCATTTCTACTCAATACTGTTGAAGAATCTCTTTTTTTAAAGCCGAAAAGGTTATTACTTTGTTCACCCGAAATTGGTTAATAAACAATAAATATGTTTAAGAAAATTACATATCCGATATAAGTTTTTAATCAGCTTGCCTTAAAATAAATTTAGCTGAATTCGAATTCCTTTTTTATTATTACAGACAATTAAATAGTCAAACTTACGCAATGGAGGATCCACTCGGAATTTAAAAGGGATTTGAAAGACTTTCATTATTATCAACAGTTTTATTGCCACTAATATAAATTTGGAAATTATTATCAAATTGTATTATCTCACTCCCTTCAATTGCCAATAAATTACAATTACAATCAGTTGGAACTCTTGAAAATTATAATCACGCATTCCTTACCTGATGAAATCACACCTGCTACAATCTTAGGCAAAGTGGAATGATTGGAATCTAGTTGAATATACTTAGGCGGCCCATTCAACATAATTTACTCCTACTCAATGAAAATCTTTTTTCACTAATCCCGTTATCAATGAGCTCATAAGCCCGTCATAAAATCTAAAAAAAGAATGGATTTAATTGGAAAGATTGGTAGCAGGTCACAAAAAATAAAAAAAATACTTATTAGCATTGTTTTATTACTTAGTACCAGTGCTGCCATCACTCAGCTTGAAAAACAGGACAGATAAGCCACAAAAAACAGGGAAAAAAAGGACAGAAAATTTAAGAAAAGGACAAAAAAAAGGACAAAAGTAAATGTACCTACATTTTTCTGTTTCTACCAATGGGTTATATATTTACTTAATATAAATGGATTTTAAATAAAATTTAATTATGTAATGATCTACTGCGCCCGACTCACAACCTTCTTTGTTTGATCATTTTACCATGGTAAATTTTTGTGCGTATACGTAATAATCTAAAATTATTATAATAATTAATGCATTTCAAGTAACTATATTCGTAATACAAAAAAATTAAATACCTGCGTCAAACCCGAAAAAGAGTCGTTCAAATCTGAATTTTTTTTCTGACAAAAAAGCAGAGAGTAAAAGTTAAAAAATTTTAAAAGTGCTTTCCTCTTTTTTTTGCTACAGAAAAAATCGTACTATAAAGAAAATCCATCGACTGCTTTACGTCTCTTTGATAATTTGTAAAAAGAATTATTTTTTAAGTGCCGAACTGTAAGAATGATGGTTAAAAAGGCATTTTAGCATATAAAAACAGGTTTATACACTTTCGACTAGCAAAAATAACACTCAAAACCTTTTTTTTGAAAAAAAGATAGATTTCCGGATAGGGGATGTTTGAAATTTTTTCCGGATAAAGCCGTTAAAAAAAGGACAGATCTGTCCGGAAAGAGGACAAAATGGCAGCACTGCTTAGTACTGGTTCCCCGGTATCATTATCATTATTTAAATAAGGCTTCCTTTTCTTATTTTGTCTTTATCAAGATATTTCTCAATGTATTTCTATCTATTTCTTTTTTAAAAAATTTAAATTTATTATGGGATGATAAGAGTTTAATTATATTCTCTTTTAAAGCCAGGTCATTCCATCTAATCGCATGATTGCGTCCTACCAGATTACAAGGGTATACCGTAGTCGCGCAATTCTAAGTAAAATTTGGAAATAGACAATTGCAAACCTCATTTCTGGTAACAGTGCTCTGTTTCTTTGAACACCTGGTTATTGAAAAAAATAGAGCAATGATAACAATAACGCTCTATATTCTGTTTACTACTCAACTAAAGAGTATGAAAATGATGTTAATTAGCAAAGACCGTTCTTGAAGAATCACGTATACCCTTTTCTACCATTATTGATTATAGAAATCTAAAGTGGATTTTAAATGTTGAAGCACCTCTTTAGAGAATTTATAACTTAAGGGATGGTAAACAAAAATGAATCTGAACTCGAGATACAGATAGGAGACCCCTATATAAATATTAAAATTCAAAGCAAGTAGCACGCGACGAAGCCTTTATAAATTTGTCAGACAAGTGGAGTGGAGTAGCCGTCTCAAGTGATAAGGTTGGTGATAACCGAAGCGTAGAAAGGTATAAATACCTTGAATCAAATAGAATTTGGTATCATTTCTTGCAAAATGGTAAAGTTATTGGCACTACTCGCAGTTCTCTGCCTTGGCCAGGCGGTCGTTGCTGAACGTGAGTACTCAATGGGGTGGTGAAAATCATTACAGAGGTAATGGGTAAACCACTTACATCCTCGATTACAGGCATCGTCAACTGCTACTGGGGCACCTGGGCCAACTACCGCAGCGGGCAGGGCAAGTTCGATGTGTCCAACATCGACTCCGGTCTGTGCACCCACTTGAGCTACTCCTTCTTCGGCATCAACGACAACGGCGAGATCCAGTCCCTGGACACCTGGTTGGACTACGATCTGGGCTTCATCAGCCAGGCTGTGGGTCTGAAGCAGCATAACTCCAACCTGAAGGTCCTGGCCGTCGTGGGTGGCTGGAACGAGGGCTCCACCAAGTACTCCTCGATGTCCGGCGACTGGTACAAGCGCCAGAACTTCATCAACTCCGCTCTGAACCTGCTGCGTAACCACGGATTCGATGGCTTGGACTTGGACTGGGAGTACCCCAACCAGCGTGGTGGCAACTGGAACGATCGCTCCAACTTTGTGACCCTGCTGCGCGAACTGAAGGAAGCGTAAGTAGAGTATATCTATAAGAACGAATGTTCTGAGTTCAAGAACAAATATTATCTGAGACCTAATGGTATTCCTTCATTCTAGTTTCGCTCCCTATTTATTATAGAGTATATTTATGAGTTCAAATGTTCTCAATTCAAGAGCGAATGTTCTCAATTTCAAGAACAAATTTTCTCAATTCAAGAAAATATGTTCTCTCCAAATATTTCTATCTGAGAACTAATGGTATTCCTTCTTTCTAGTTTCGCTCCCTATGGCTACGAGTTGAGCATTGCTGTGGGTGCCGGAGAGGCTCTGGCCAGCAGCTCCTACGAGATCGCCAACATTGCCGCCCAGGTCAACTTCATTAACGTGATGACCTACGACTTCGCCTTCGCCTCTGATGGTCAGACCGGTTTCAACGCTCCCCAGTGGGCCGTGGAGAACGCCATCAACTTCTGGCTGAGCCAGGGTGCTCCGGCCAACAAGCTGGTGCTCGGCGTTGGCACCTACGGTCGCTCCTTCCAGCTGTCGGACTCCTCCCAGAACTGGCCGGGAGCACCGTGCCGCGGTGAGGGTGCCGCCGGTTCCTACACTGGATCCACCGGCTACCTGGGCTACAACGAGATCTGCCAGAACAACTGGCACACCGTCTTCGACTACGGCAATGCCGCCCCCTACGCCTACTCTGGTGACCAGTGGGTGAGCTTCGACAACGTCCTGAGTGTCCAGTACAAGATGGACTTCGCCCTGCGCAATAACCTGGCTGGTGCCATGATCTGGTCTTTGGAAACCGATGATTACCGCGGTCTGTGCGGCGAGAACTACCCTCTGCTCCGCGCCATCAACATGAAGCTGCGTTGGACATAAGAAGGAGTATTCCGATTAGAAAGAATAAATGATTAAAAATTAAAAAAAATATCTCGAGTTTTGGCTATCTCTCATTGGATACCTCACTTTTATTTATATGAAAATATAACATTTATTTTTGTAGAGCTAATAAGATGATTTAAAAGAAACAAAATACTCGGGCTTAAAGATTTGGTTTCTATCTTCTAAATAAAAAATTCCTATTCTAAAACAAACCAGTTCGAAAATTGTGAGATATCTACAATTTCGTTTTGTATATCCATTTAATTGACAAAGAAATTAAAATTTAACAGGGAACTATCGTTGATATCCTACTAATATTTACAAAGGTCTTGGTCCAGCATTCGTTTGTAAGAAACCATTTCTCAATATTTTTGAATTGCAAGCTTTTTTCTGTACAAAATTCGTTTGAATCGGAATCTGGAAACTTATGATAAAAAAACTATATTGCAAAGTAGCCATTCCTTCTGCTATTATCGCCGATTTATAGTTTAATTACTAATCATGTAAGAATGTCATTCAGTAAAACAGTTTAACTTGATCCTTCAAGTAACGTTTTTGTATTGAAGTACCAGCAATTTCAGCAAGAAACGCCATTGTTATGGTGAAATTCTTTGTTTATTGAGACATTTTTCAGAAAAACAAATCATCATAAAAAAAATCACCCACAATAATAATAATATGTTTATTTTTTTTAAGCCTTTATTGAAGTACCTGAGATTATGGTTACCAATAAAATTGTCACCGTTTCTTCATAAATAAATCAATCATCATAGGAAATAAGTGTGGTCACTCTTATTATTACTCGTAGAAGTAGAAGAATGTTTATTTATTTAATTAGAGATTATGGTTATTGAAGAGGCTTTATGAGTAGCTAGCAACAATTTTGAATCACATCCTTTAGAACGATGACGAAGTGCGTATTCGAGTGGGGTTCGATATGATAGCACCATCATCCAAATCTCAAGATGCACTTAATAATCAAACAATAAATGGAAATTTATGTTCATAATATAATATGTGGTACAGATATAGGCTAAAGAGTCGTTTCAACTTCCTCACCGAATGCAATATATTACACTTTTGTTTTCTATTTCTGCGATTTCTTCTGTGAAGTGGCGATTTATCAACGACGTCGATGTGGGAATAGTGATAAGAATTTGCCTGGGGAGTGGCCTATATAAACGGAGTGCCATAATACGCGTAGCTATTGTTAATGTTGACCGACTGAGAAGGCACATTATGAAGGTTTTCTCGATTTGGGCTTTGGCAGCTCTTTGCCTTTGCCTCGGCCAAGTGGCCACCAGCGAAAGTGAGTATTAGTCTGCAGTTTTCCCAGAAATCGAAGTGCTAATCCCAATCCTCTAGAGCTCATCAACTGCTACTGGGGCACCTGGGCCAACTATCGTCCCGGCGATGGCAAGTTCACCCCCTCGGACATCGATCCCTCCCTGTGCACCCACATCAGCTACACCTTCTTCGGAATCAGCGATGCCGGCGAGTTCAAGTCCCTGGACACCTGGCTGGACATGGACGATGGACTGGGTGAGTAAATAGCATCATTTATTGAATTCGTACCTGGGGACACATAAAGAAATTTTCAAAATCGGACCATTCACTCAAAAGTTATGAGGAAATAAAAGCTACGTTGCGTGCAAGCAGTCGCTTTTCTGCTTTCTTAGTTGAATAACGTTCTCCCATGTCCTAAATGTTATTCCTAGGCTACATTAGCCAGACGATTGCCCTGAAGCAGCGTAATCCCAATCTGAAGATTCTGGCTGTGGTGGGCGGCTGGAACGAGGGTTCCGAGAAGTACTCAGCCATGGCCGCCGATCCTGCCAAGCGTGCCACCTTTGTGACCACCTCCCTGGCCTTCATTCAGCAGTATGGCTTCGATGGTCTGGATTTGGATTGGGAGTATCCTGGTCAGCGAGGAGGCAGCGATGCGGATCGCGTTAACTTTGTGACCCTGCTGCGTGAGATTAAGGAAACGTGAGTAATTGTATAGATTCTTTAGAAGGCTATAACCTATATCGATTACCTAAAGTTATGACAAGTATGGATTGGAACTGGGTATTGCCGTGGGTGCCTCCGAGAAGTCGGCCAGCATCTCCTACGACATTCCGGCCATTTCCCAGCACCTGACCTTCATCAATGTGATGACCTACGACTTCCACATGGCTCTGGATGGCTACTTGGGTCTCAATGCTCCTCTGCCCGAGGTCACCGAATCCATTGACTACTGGCTTTCGCATGGTAAGTTAGAAAACTTGGGTATACTGAGTTCCCATTACTGATTACTGGTTATAACAATTAGGTGCCCCCGCCGAGAAACTGATCCTGGGCATTGGCTTCTATGGTCATAGCTACCAGATGTCCGATAGTTCTCAAAACTGGCCTGGAGCCGCTTGCATTGGTCCCGGAACTGCTGGCGTCTACACCCGGGAGAATGGCTTCCTGGGCTACCACGAGATCTGCCTGAACAACTGGAACACCGTTTTCGATCAGGAGAACGGTGCTCCGTATGCCTACCAGGGCGACCAATGGATCGGCTATGACAACCCCGAGAGCATCCAGATGAAGATGCAGCTGGTGGAGTCCCGCAACCTGGGAGGCGCCATGATGTGGTCCATCGAGACTGATGACTTCCGTGGCCTCTGCGGAGAGTCCTATCCCCTGCTGAAGACCATGAACCGCGCTCTGGGAAAGGAGGTTAGCGGCGGAGGAGGAGGAAGTGTAACCCCCTCGCCAACTTCTGCTCCCACTGCTGGCACCACGCCCACACCCACTCCCGGTGGAGGAGGAAGTGGAGGTGGTGGCTCCACTGGAGACTGCGCATCTACCGCAAATGGTCACTACATGACCGTTGGCGACTGCAACAAGTACTACCAGTGCACCGATGGCGTCCGTTACGACTTCCAATGCGGAGCGGGACTGTACTTTAATACCAACACCCAAATCTGCGACTGGCCGGCTAATGTCGCTTGTCCCTATTAAATAAACAGCAAATGAAAATATACCAGCATTTTGAATAATCAAAAAATATACATATATGTTTTCAAGTGGCCCCCACAGGAATTGTATTTCAAGTAATCTTATAAATCCATATTTATGACCATCTGAATACCGATTAGATTTAGATTCTCATAATAATATTGACAAACAAGCACTTAGTCATCATCAGACATAAAGGAATTGTATTGTACAGACCATGAGGCAACTGCCCATGATTCAATTTCAATATTGAAGTAATGATAATGACAATAAATACTTGTTCACTTGTCTACAAGAAACCATAAATGGGTGAGGTAATGTGAAGGAATGTTAAGTTCAATGCAGGGTACACTTATTGACATGCTGAAAGTACTTTGAAAAACAGGGGGATATTATAATATTTCCAGCTAAGATCAAATAATAAATCGAAACAGGACTGTTTCAATTTAAATAATAATCAACTTATCATTGCATTTTTGGTGTAAACTTGATTTACTTTACCATTTCCTAAATGACACTCATTCAGAAACAACACGGAACTCAAAACACTTTTAGTGGTCCGGAAACAAATTTTAACAAAAACTTTCATTTTGTTTACTTGACCATTTCGTTTAGTCTGCGATCAAGCTAAAATTATAAAAATTTTCTAGTTAACCTCGATAGGTTCTTTATAACCATGGCTCCTTTTAAGTGTGTTTTTATGGTACTGACATTTCTGATCTGCGGTTCTATAGCAAAAGAGTGTAAGTATTTCTTTATAGTACTACTTGGTTTAACAATTATTCCCCCAGACAATGTCTTCTGTCAATATGATATGGCCTCCTACTATTTCAAAGAACGCAGTCAATTCTTTGACTGGAACTTGGACTCTAGACTTTGCACTCACCTGGTCATTGGTTCGGGTGTAGGTGTAGATGGAGAGACCGGCGAATTGAAGATCACCGATCGACATCTCCTCCTGGATAAGAGTAAGTGCAAATATATTTAGGATCTTTTATTTAAGGTACCAAGGTAATTAATCCTAAAATCCCTATAGATATGCTAACTAGCGTTAGGAACATGAAGGTTGATAGCATAAAAAAGGTGATGTTCACCATTGGTGGCTGGCAGGAAGATTCCCATCACTTCTCCACGATGGTAGCCTCTCCGAACAAGCGAGACAACTTCTACACCTCGATTCTAACGTTCATGAACGAGTGGGGATTCGATGGAGTCCAGATCGATTGGCGTTATCCCACTCAGCGCGGTGGACAGCCGGAGGATCGGAAGAACTTTGTGCTTCTATTAGAGGAACTAAGTTTAATGTGAGTATCTATTCCTCAGATCCCCAAGATCTCATCCCCCTTTTTCTATAGCTTTCGGGAGCAGAAGTTAATCCTCGTGGTAACTGTGTTGGGTCGAACGAACCAGCGGAACCTTGAGAGCTACGACATTCCCGGGATAGTAAAGAACTCTGACTTTGTCCACCTAATGATGCACGACGAACGGGATGCATATCGCCTGCGTTTGGGCTACAATGCTCCACTTCACGGATCTGGAGACACAGTAGCCAATGCCATTAAACTTTGGAAGAGGCAGGGAAAGGCACCCGAGAAACTCATCCTTAATATTCCCCTCTTCGTTCGCTCCTATACCATGGATAGGGATCAATCGACGGTGGGATCGCCCTGCAAAGGACCCGGCAAGCGAACAAAGTTGTCCCATCGCGATGGCTTCATGACCTACAACGAGTGGTGCGTGCAGGAGTCCAACTGGACCAGGAAGTTCGACAAGGTGGCCAAGGTGCCGTATGCCGTGCGAGGTGATCAGTGGGTGAGCTACGAGAATGCCCAAAGCATCTGGGCCAAGATGCACTTGCTCCAGAAGCACAAACTGGGTGGCGCCATGGCCTGGACCGTCGATGTGGATGACTTCCAGGGATTTTGTGGCGAGCGTCATGGTTTGCTCCACGTAATCTTCGCTGCGCTGGGGGATAAGAATGCCCTGACAACTGAAAAGCCCACCACTGAGGCTTCTGGTCTCTGCCCCCGGGATGGTTTCTTCAAGGATGCCTGGGATTGCCGCTTATATCACGAATGCCGCAACGGGGAGAGGATCTACTACGAGTGCCTCGAGGGTCAGTACTTCGAGGAGACCAAGGCCATCTGCCTGCCCAAATCGGAGGTCAAGTGCGAAGATAACTTGGTCATCTGGCGACCGGGAATGCCCGTTTACAACTTCAGAAACATGCCGCTGAACCTCAAGATTGTTGACTAGACTAGATTGAATTCCAAAAATATAGTTTTAGCACTTTACTGAACCCGAATAGTTGCATCTCTTAGTGTCTAGGTCAAAGTTGAGGCCACTGGGACAGTCGAAATTGTGCGTCTTTCCACCACTGCAGTAGTAGAACTTGGAGCAGGTCTGTGGATCGCGAACATAACCCTCAGGAGCATCCGAAGGACAACTAAATCCTCCAGTGGTTTCCTCCTTCGACGATTCCAGGTTCAAACCGGAAGGGGTTTCGCCTCCAAAGAGCACGCTGTTGATTTCGTGCAGCAGGGGATAGGGCTTCCCCCCACAGTTGCCATGAAAGTCATCGGATTCCAGGGACCAGATCATTATCCCACCTAGGTGGTGATCCACCACATACTGCGCCTTCAGGGAGAGGCTACGCGGATCCTCGTAGCCCACCCACTGTCGCTGCCTGAAGGCGTAGGGAACCTTCTGTGCCGGCTCCCACTGCCTGGTCCACTCCCCTTCCTGCTGCTGCATCAGCTCGCAGAGCTCGTTGTAGCCCAGGACGCCCGGTTCACGGGAGTATTTCCCGGCCAGTCCCTTGCCAATGTGCGGAGATCCCGGCTGATTGCCCTCGGCGGTGGCCAAGGTGAAGGTGCGTCCGTAGAAGGGAACTCCTAGGATCAGTTTTTCTGCCGGAGCTCCAGACTGAAGCCAGTACTTCACAATGGCATCCACATTGAGCTGCTGCTGCCGACCCAAGGAGTCGCTGGCATCACTTTCCGAGGCATACAGAGGAGCATTGATGCCCACCACCTGGTCCCAAGGTCCGTGGAGGTCGTAGGCCATCACATTGATGAGGTCCAGATAGGGAACCATTGCGGGTATATCATAGGATACTTCAGCGGAGAACTGGGCAGAGCCCACAGCAGCGCTGAGCAGGAAACCAAAGGGTTCAAGCCTGAGAAGAGTTAGAGGTTAGAGCTCATTTATTAAAAAACAAGAGAGAACGCTATAGTCACTCAGCTAAAGGAAGTGCGAGGGAGATGGATACATAACATTTTTTTGGTTGCGCATAACTTTTTAATGAATGGTCCGATTTGAAAAAAGTCTTCTACATTTCGATAGGTATAAATATACAAAACAAAATTGCATTTATACTTCTCGGAAATCTTGAAAGGTGTGGGCGCCAGACACGTTTTAAAATAGTTAGTGGGCGATTGTGGGCGTTAGAGGGGGCGTGGCTGAAATAAACTTGCGCTGCGTAGCAAGCACAAGAATATGTGTGGAAAATCTCAACCTTCTAGCTTTTGTAGTTTCCATGATCTCAGCGTTCATATGGACAGACAGACGGACAGACAGACGGACAGACAGAGGGACAGACAGACGGACAGACAGACATGGCTATATCGCTTTTATATGGCTATATGGCTTTTACTCTACGAGTAACGGGTATAATTACTTCCAACTCACCCCTCTTTCAGTTCTTTTAAAAACGTAATATAGTTCGATCGATCCGCGTTCTCCAAGCTATGACGCTGGCCAGGATACTCCCAGTCCAGGTCTAGGCCATCAAATCCGTGGCGCTGCAGGAACCTCACCACATCGTCCACGAACTTGGCGCGCTTCAGGGGATCGCTGGCCACCAGGGAGAACCGCTTGGAACCTTCGTTCCAACCTCCGACGGCCACCAGGGTTTTCAGCACGGGATTCTTCAGCTTGAGGGCATTGAAGGCCTTAATATTTCCCCGCCCAGCATTATCCTCGAGATCCAGATAGGCGTCGATCACCCGCAGCTGACCCGTCTCCTCGATGCCCAGGAAGGCGTAGATCAGGTGGGTGCACAGGAAGGGATCGATGTCCTCCACGCCGAACTTGCCCAGACCAGGTCGGTAGATGGACCAGGTGCCCTGATAGCAGACCACGTTTTCTGTAGAGGATTTCTTTGATAATCCTGGAGGGAATGGATAGCCAGCTACTCACTTGAAGAGTTGCCTTCTGCGGATGAGGAGGCCACCAGCAGGAGCAGCCCCAGTAAACCAGTTAAGCTCCACATTTCTTGACCACTGAATTGAAACAGCCAGCCATTCCACGACATTTATACCATTTCGATTTTAAGATAAGGAGTGTTTAACTTTGTAATATGTATTTAAGGTTTGTTTTCAAGCAGAAGACACGCTGTTTACCCACTTGTTGCTCGGGAGAGCTTGGCAAACAACGGGTCGCTTTGGGGGTCGGGTCTCCAAAATCAACGATAACACCTAGGGTCTAGAACTTCTTCAGCTTGGACAGCTGGTTGTTGCGCCGCAAGGCCAGTTTCCTGAGGCGGCGCCAGTACTGCTTGGAGTTGGGATCCAGTTCGTCCAGCGGGATGATGCGCTCGGTGTTCAGGGACCACAGCCACTCGGGGTACTCCGCATCCGGTTTGATCTGTTGGAGGAGGGGTAAATATATAGTAAACCCCATCTTAAAGAACTCTAATATTTCACCTTAACATCCTCTCCTGCTTTCAGGTAGTTGCTACCGCACACGTAGCTCACCAGCTTGTTGGCATCCGTCTCCACGGGAATGATTTTCTTCTCCATGATGGGTCCCAGCTTGCCCAGCTTTTTCTTCTTGCCCGCTGTGGAAGGGTTTAAGTTATCATTAGTTATGCTTAGTTATAACCTGGTTGTTGGGGGTGCTCACCTGGTGCCGCCGGTTTGACGGCATAGCAACGTGTGGAGTTCCCTATCGCTGGGGCTATCAATCGCTGTCTTACCATCTGGAAAATCGCAGTGAAGTTGCTCATGTCTGCTATATATTCTATTTACTGCCTAATAGTCACTTTAATTGACGAATATTTGTTAATTTACAGCAATTTATTTACAAAACTACTTGTATAGTTGTATAATCTGCCGAATGCAGCTGTGCAGCCCTGGTTATAAAGTATACGACCCGTCAGCTGATTATTCAAAACAAAGAACTATCGAAGAGAATTTTTTTAATAAAAAGCTATTGCGACTTTATAAACTTTAATAGAGTGACCTAATAATACGAATTATAAATATTTCTGTCATTAATTGTTTAAACAATAGACTTTAGAGATGGACTTTGGTTTTGCAAAATAAAATTATTTGGAATAGGAAGATTTTAAAGTTTTTATAAATATAAAAAACAAAAATAAATTTTTCTATCTTTATTTTGTTGCCTACTTTTATTTAAATTTTGTCAGTTACTTTTAAGATTTAGAAAAATCGAACAACTGTCATCTCTAATACGGCACCGGCAAATAACGAATTATTACACAAGTAACAACAGATACTTTAAATAAAAACTATTTCACCAAGATGGTGCGACTAAGAATGCCCTCGAACAAAACACTGGGCAACATTTGCGTCTATGGCGCCGTGGCCTCCATTTCAGCGGTGATGTACATGAGGTGGAAAATGGAGGATCGTGTGAGATCCTGTGAGTACTACAAACTGGCCCTGAAGGCATTGCGCAGCCATCGAGGAGCCTCGAGTCTCCTGGGGGAGCCCATCAAGGACTTGGGCATAGATCTGTCCAATGCCAACAACAATTGCAATGCGGAGATGGCGCATTTCGAGGTTTCCGTGCGGGGCAGCAAAGATAAGGGTAAGCCGATCCTTGAATTTATTTACTAGATATTTATTTCTGTAATCTGTCATACCCAGGAACCCTCTTCTTTTGGGCCTCCCATCAGCCGGACAGAGGCTGGCTGATCGACCGACTGGAGCTGGAGACCAAACTCAATCCCGAGAAGCGCTTCCTGCTCAAGAAGTCCGAGGAACTGACCTTCGATCTGCCCGAGAGCCTGAGCAAACAGCCTGCTCAAGTGGATTCCAAAGTTAGTCTATCCGAAAGCAATCTGCTAAATAATAACGAAACTAAAACGCATACAAAGTGACGAGTTCCGATTCAATTAGTTTATTCTCATTAAATTTGACTAATTCAAGCAATCTTAAATGTTGTATAGTTATGTTATATTAATTACAAATTTATTGTTTTTATAAAATCAAAGTCTTTAGTTATTCTGTTTGTCTGGCGAAACTGATCAGTGGTTAAGCTTAGTTGGATATTCTCATGATCATATGCTCATGCTAGGCGGTGGTGAACAATCGGGAAAGCAGAAAACTTGAATGGGTGCTCTAATGATACCGCTTAAAGTACATAGTCGAGAGTCGGCTGGCTGGCTGGTCCACCTCCGATCCTGGCTGGCTCGTCTAGAGCGCAGATCTCGAGTTTGATTCGTTTAAAATTAGAATAATACATAGGTTAGAGGACATGATAAAATCCGCGTTTAATGCTCTTCTTAAACGATAAAGGCGACAATTGGTGGCGATCGTGACGCAGACGAGGCAGCAGTTCACCGTCATCGTCCGGGTAAAGTCATCCAAATGCTTGCAATCAATCGTTATATATGTCGCTATGTAACACATAATATATATATGTATATGTAGGTATATGTTCGTATGTATATAGCCGAATTACAGACATTATTTTGGGCATACTCCTGCTTAACTGCTGCTTCGGTTCGGATGTTCAGATGTTCGGCTGTTCTGGTGTTGTTAATGCTGATGATCGGATGATCGGATGACCGGTTCCTATGCTCGCTTGGCCATGGCAAGTGGAAGACTGTTGGGCCGCTTCGTCGACTGTGTCCGCTCCTCTTCCGCTTGCACCTCCTGGTCTTATTGCGTCTTCAGCTCCTTGCCAATGCTGTACGAGACGATTTTGCTCCAGTCGATCTTGGTCCTGGTGATGGGCAGCTGGCGGCGCATGGCCTTGAACGTTGTGTCCGACATGGTCTGGTAGTTCTCCGAGATGGCCAGCTGGTACTCGTTCTCGGCCTCCTCGATCAGGCGGATCACCTCCTTGGCCAGCTGCTGTTCGTTGCTGACCACCACGCTCTCGCGGCACTCCTTCGAGGAGACCAGCTGCACGTTGCCGTCCTCGTAGTAGTGCACCTGCACCTTCAGCACGCCCTTCAGCTCGGCCGAACCGCTGCCCGCCTGGAAGCTGACGTGCCACTGGGAGCGCCATCGGCCGTTCCAGTAGTTCTTCGGCTGGAACTGGTGGTCCTCGATGCAAATGGTCAGGGTGATCTGGTTGCCCTGCGCCTTACCGAACACGGAGCTGACCTGTGAAGGGAGTTCTAGGTTAGCGACAAGTCAGTGGTGGTTTCTATTCGATCCTACCCCGTGTCTATAGTGACTGGCAGTGTAGGCGAGCGTCTCTAAATCCAGGGCAGCCCGCCAGGGCTCCGCGGTGGCATCCGCATCCACGTCCTGGTAGTCGGAGGCCTCTTTCCTGAGGTGGTCGTATTTGAAGGCCTGCTTTGTGCGCGGATCGTAGAAGCGACCGTTGCCTGGAATGCAATGGCTTATCAGTTGTGTAGGCTAAAGATATCAAAGCGAAGCCCAAACAAAACCCAGGTGACTCATGGTGGTGGGTCTCTTGTCCATATTTAGGCATAGGAATAGGCATAGGCTCACCCAGATCGTTGTGCTCCGAGATGATGGCGTTGTGGTCGGTGCCCTCGATGCGGACCGGGGTCAGCTGGTCCTTGTTGTACTGGGCGAAGGCGTGGCTGGCCCCGTCCTTCAGCAGGGTGTCGTTCTTCAGCAGCTCCCGCACGTCGTTGAACACCTCGTTGAACTCGCCGGGCGGCGCGTGCAGGATGAAGTCCGACACAATGCGCACCTTCTCCGCATCGGTGATCGGGGTCTGCTCCATGGCTATGGTTCCACTGGGTGATTCACGAATTCAATTCGATGCGATTCGATTCGGGGCAGGGGCGGTTGTTTGGCTCGCTCTGATTTCCCTTCCGGTTCCCTGGGGGCTTCTGCTCTGGCCGGGATCGCTGTGCGGATTGCTGGGGGTGTTGCGCTGCAGCTGGAACTCTTCCTCGACCGTTTTCTTCGGCGCTATTACCTTTTTTCTTTCAGTTAATGGCCCAAGACGATGACGACTCGATTCCAAACCTATCGGTAGACCTCTTCTTCTTCGAGTTGAGGAGGCGTTTTTGTCCAAACCTATCGATACGAATCACTTTTTAGTGTGGTGTGACCGTTGGCCATGACCAAGTACCAACTAACGCCACCGATAGCGGTGGGCGATATAATATAATGAGGGTATTCCCTAAACTTTTGAATTGCTGAAAATTCAACAGAAAATTTCAGCCATAAAGGGAACGACCCGTTCTTGTTATTTGTTGAAAGTTATACGGAACTTAAGACATGTACAATTTGATTTATTATTGCTAGTTACTATTTAAAATTGTTACCAGGTTAAAATAACCACATATTTGCTTTCTAAGTTGATTTTGAAATAAATAATGTGTACTGGTGATACTAAAATGTTACAGAGGTGCCATGACTTTTTATAAAAAAGGTAAAAGCTCTGGCTTTTCAGAAATTCAACAAAATTTTCATTGCTGAAATTTCTGAAAGTTGACTTTGTATGGAACAGCTGATTAACAACTGACCAAAATTCAACAATTCAGCAATTCAATTCAGCTTAGGGAATACCCTGGTTGAATTGCTAAATTGTTGAAAATTCGACAGAAAATTTCAGCAATTAAGGGGCTGTCCATATATTACGTAATCACCTAGTGGGGGAGGGGGGGCGGGGTGTCATTAAAATGATTATGTTTGATTACATGGGGAGGGGGGTCTTGCACAATGATTACGTAATCATTTTATATAAATTTTTTTATTTAAAGAATTTATTTTAAAAATTTTTTTGTGGCTGGGCGGCGAAAAAGAAAATGTTTAGTGGTTCAATCACACGAAGGACGCGAAGACCTGGAATAGCTTGACGAAGAGTATGTTGGAGATAATTTCAGCGTAGACGAACCGAATGTGTCATACCAAACTCCATTTATAAACAATATATAAGATTGGGTTGCATCTCCGTTTGAATCCACAGATTAAAACAAGAAAAATTTTATTCTTGAGATTACGTAATCATTGGGGGGGGTGTTTATTGAATGATTACGTTTGATCACCAGGGGGGGAGGTGTCAAAAATCACCAAAAACGTGATTACGTAATATATGGACAGCCCCTAAGGGGACGACACAATATGGTTTTTGTTGCATTTTCAAACAACTGTTATTTGTGGAAAAATTTCACTTAAGACATGCAAAATTTGATTTATAATTGCTAGTTACTGTCTAAAATTGTTACCAAGATAAAAAGAACCACAAATATGTTTGTGATACTAAAATGTTACAGATTTGCCATGACTTTTGATAAAAAAGGTGACAACTTTCGTTTTCAACGATTCAGCCTCGAGACTGTTAAATTACTAAAATTTCTGAAGAATGACTTTTTATGGAACAGCTGATTAGCAGCTGACTGAAATTCAACAATTCAACAGTTTAGGGAATACCCAGAATACAATGAAAGTATTCCCTAAACTTTCGAATTGTAAAAAATTAATTAGAAAATTCCAGCAATTCCAGCAATGGTTCTTGTTGAATTTTCCAACAGCTGTTATTTGTTGAAAGAAATAAAGAAGGTGACAGGTCTGGTTTTCAACGATTCAACCAAATTTTATTGGTTTCCTGTCAAGAGATTTGCACAGGTCAGTTCAGTTCCAGACTTTGAACGGTGAGTATATACAATTTTTTCTTACAATTTAGTACTAAAATCATCTTTGTCAATTCAATTTAAAGTCATTAGAAAAACCAGACAAAAAATAATATAAATTTACCTTTTACCTTAACCTAGGTTCTTTGGCAAATACCTGTCCCAACGTAGCATATATGATGATCCAGTACAGTTTTGATGTAACTTACCAAAGGCTGTTGTCCAAGCAGCGGTATATGGCTTTGCAGAGGCCACCTTGGAGGATTTAATTTTTTGGTGTCTTTTAATTTATTATTGCCATTACCAAATAGGCGTCACCGATGAAGAGGTTGAAAATTCACCACATGTATGTTGATCAAATCTAATTGATCATTTAATTTTTAACAAAATCTTTTTCAGATTACCAATTCAATAACGCTAAATATGGTAACGAATATTAGCACCAGTCAACACCAATATACCGCGCAAATGCTGGAAAACTTCAAACAGGACATAAACGCAGTCGCAGGAGACATTTCCCTAATAGAACAGATTAATGATCTGGTAAGGAATCCAAAGCCCTTTTTCATCCTTATAGATGAACTTTTTATGACCGAGGGGAGTATATAAACATTATTCTGTGTATTATTTTGTCATACACATGGATGTCGTCCAGAGCATGACAGCGGAAAGAATGAGGAAGACCCTTGAAAATGTTTGCACCTCGATCGAAGAATGGGGATTGACGAACTATTGCATCGCCATAGTTTCGGATGGAAACGCCATGAACCAGGGCACGGTACCTGACTGGTTTCCGGCCCCACATTTGTGGGACCAAGTAAATTTTCGGAGATGGCACGCGAAGAATTACTCGTACTTAGACTACGTTGTGGGAAAGGCGTACCGGACCCTGTTTACTCGTTCCGATTACAACTATGAAATTGACCAGTTGGTAGTATTCGAATCCTAACAAAGGTCAAGATCGGAGCTGCAGGCATTAAAAATTGCCATTAGACGTTTCTTCGCCATTTCCCCGGAGAAAACCTTTCTCCCAGTGTACGCAGACAACGAAACATTGGAGGTGATGGGCCTCCAGTCGTAGTGGTCCATTAATTTAGCCCTGGCCCCTAACGGGCCAGTTATATTCAAAATGATTCGAGATGATCCAATATATAAAATACATAGGTCAGTTCTAACCTTATTTATTTCCGCAGTCTTGCCTCCCAGTCTCTTTGACCTCTCCAATCGGAATAAATCTGAACGGGAGATTTGGCTTTCAATTCACCATTTCATGTGACCGCATTTAGCTTTACAACATAATCCCTCTAACGATTTACAGCATCGATAACAAATACTGAAATACTTGGCGCTTCATTTAAATTCACTAAACCTTGAGCGTTATGTTAGTCCGTTCCACGACACTCTAATATTAGGGATAATAGCGATTATCCAATCAAGGAATATTAGAAATGATAATAATAATAATGTCCCAATGTTAGAATAATAAATAAACAAAAATGTTTTAAAAACTTAATAATATTAATTTTAAGATTTATGATTTGACTATGAAACTATGATACATAAACATTAGACACAGAAAGGGAGCTAAAATCGGCAAGCCGAAGTCTATAAATTATTAAATTTTCATATTTATATTGGTAAAAAAAAAAGTATTTTTTACCATTTTGTAGCAGGCCGATCTGGTATTAATTGGAAAACGCGTTAATCGGTGGATATAGATCGATTGTAAGAACAAAAAGATACGGTCACACTTGCGCGGAAACGATAAATATAAGGTCCCTGCGGTCCGACTGGCCATTCTTTTTTAGTGTTTTGTGCGTGCTGGTTGACGCTCCTGATTATGCTGCACATTGCTAGTTGTATTAATAAAAATGTTTGTTTTTGTCACGAAAGGGCGCAATTTTTCTAAAACCCCTTCTTACTATTCTTTTGTCCAATCAAACACCCTAGGATTGTCCCGAAAGTGGGACATAAATACCCTATAACAATTATTATAGGTTAAACTGTGTCGCTTTTTCTGGCAGAAAGTGTAAGGGCCAACAAAAATTTGGTTCGGATTGCTCCATATATTCGTACATATTCGTATTTTCGAGCATTCCAGTTACGGACGTGGATGCGGTCCCACAAAAATGGAACCTCACTCCCACTTTTTGGAATCTGAACTAAGTTCATTGCATTTTCGTCCGAAATGAAGGCCAACAAGTACCGCTTCAAACCCCATTCGTCGAACTTCTCCAGAATTCTGTCTAAGGTGAATTTTATGCGCTCAGAAGTCAATTCCTCGCCTACATCCAGGTGAACTACCGGGATGCAGATTCCACTGACGTTCTCCACCGCAAAAACGTTCGCCTGTTAGGAAGCAACGAAGTCCCATCCATCGAGATAAATAATGAACTGCTGTTGGCAGTTGTCCCTGCTGCTTTTATTGACCTCTGATTTGATGTTAAAATTTGTTTCTGATTTGTGCCAATGAACTGGTCACCAGTAAGACCACTCTGCCTATTTGATAGGAGTGCGGCTTAATATTTATTTCAGCTTGGTATTTTAAGCTATATATTTTTTATCGAGGAAACATGAATATCAAAGTGAACCAACCAAATTCTGCCGGATATACCTAATGTGGATGCTCAGGTACATTTAGAGAGAATGCTAGAAGTTAGGGATTGCAATGATTGTTCTAGATCAGAGGGCACAACATCATTGAATGATCTATTGATGCCCAATTCACATAAAAGGTCACATATACTTCGTAAAATGATGTATATGACACGCTTAAGTACTAAACCACGGATATTAGTAAATGCCTCAATGTTACAAAATATTGAAAAAAATACGTATTCCAGGCTTGGACGCTCTTCAGTAAGTATATAATCAAAAGCAACGTCAAATGATAAATCAACAGTTTTCAATATGCTATCGACATTGTGTGTTTTCCGTATAAAAGAAGATGTAAATTGATCAAATAAACGACTAAATAGACTATTAGCGGCTGAGTGCAGAGGCCTTACATAACAGGCTTTAAGGTATTTTACATTGTGAATCGAACATTTTGTATCCTATTCCTGTGATTCTGTTCCTGACGTTTTGGATGTAAGAGGCGATAAATCCTAGCTTTCTAAGTTCGTCCACTATCCAGCTTTGTGGGGTTGAGGGGTGGAGATGGCGGATCATTACCCTGAATCCTTCGCCGACCTTTCTTTTGCGGGATACTGGCTACTTTTAAAGCCTTTTGAGCTTACTGCTGGGCTGAGTTTTTTTCTGATTGGTGCCATGGATGGTCACTAGTAGGACCACTCTGCCTATTAAATAGGAGAGTGACTTGGTATTTATTTCAACCGGTATGTTGGCTATATATAAATAGTGTGAACGGCTATTGCAGACGCCTAATATAAAGGCTTTAGAGGATTTTACATTGAGAACTTATTTTTAAAACATAGAGTTGGTATTAAAATTATTTTGAACATTAATTTGGTGGTAGGAAATATTTTAAAAATTAAATACTTGGTATTTTCAGAATAAAATATTTAAGCATAATACCGAATATTTGTACATTTGTTTGAATTTACTGAGTAGCGGCAGATTTAGGTGCAAAAATTGTTTGAAAAAGAGCTAATTATGACCATAATGTCGGAATATCGTTTACAAAAATATTTTTAAAAGGTTTTACAAAATAAAAATTTTAAAAAGTTTGTTTTTCAGAAATAACGCAGCTTTGCCGACAGAAATTGAAGTAGCGCTTGACCTCTATAGCTTGCAGGAGGGATCCCGGATCATTACCCTGAATCCTTTGTCGCCTGATGCGAGTGGGCTGGGACCTTATTTTCAAGCAAGACCGTTTTTATCGAATTGTATGCTTTCATGTCAACGGCTTGTATACGAATTCCGTTTCCTATTGTTGTCTTGGTTTGGTATTTGGATATACCAGCCCTACAATTTCGCTTTTCTAGTAGCGGAATGATTGCAGGTATGCTTGCTATATAAAATGGCGGGATTTTCTTGCTGACCGGAACTGTTTTCCATGGCCGGTTGTCTTGACAGACAGACAGACGGACATGGCTATATCGACTCGGCTAGTGACCCTGATCAAGAATGGGGTCGGAAACGCTTCCTTCTTCCTGTTACATACTTTTGCACGAATACAATATACCATTTTACTCTACGAGTAACGGGTAACATATTTTTATTGTGTGTAGATCCGATTGGCCAAAATTTGAAGCGGCTGTGTGCAGAGGCCTTAACAGAACTGTAAAGATGCAGCACTTTTAACAGAGGTAGTGTCGCCGGGGGGTGTATTCACTACTCAAGGATTGTGTATTTGCTAACGGCCATTTTTAAGATTTAATTAATTATACAATTCACCACACGTATGTTGAGTTAGTCAAATTGTATATTTAATTTTTTATGTATATATAAACATATATTTATTTATATATACTATTTTTGTGCGTATAAAATTGCATTTTTAAGCGGAATCGTGTTCACATATCCAAAAATCGCTTACTCTATCAAGGTGAATTCTCACCTATAGTCGATTTCTGTTTTGTTCTTCGTTTCGTGTACTCTTTGAATTTTGGTTTCAAATCAGTTCGATTTTCGAAATATCAAAAACATATTTTTAAAAATAGCGATCTTATCAGGGGAAAAAATATCACGGTATAATTATTTATTTTTATTAAAAAAAATATCGATATTTTGATATTTTTAAATATCTTTACATCATCTTTGTTTTCGATATTTCCTGGAGTTCGGTTCGCGGTGCGGGAAAATCGAATTGCAATTTAATGCTAGGTTTAATGGACAACAAAACGAACCATTAGTGAGCAACCCGTATTTTTATTCGGAATCAAAGGTGTGTAACGTCGCTCGTCGATTTCCAGGAGGATTTTGGCTAAAACTTGGCCATAATACGACAGTTAACAAGTGCCACCGCATCGCAGTGTTGTCAAGTGAAATTTTAAAATTTTTCAAACATTGAAAACCTTAACTCAAAATACATCACCGTTTTAGGCCCGTTTTCGAGCCAAAAACATAAACAAACCAAACAAAGGTTCGAATTTCGAAAGTGACTGAAAATTGTTTTTATCTTTTCACAGTGACTACCAAAAATATGGTTATAACAAAATTATAATGGCGTTCGTTTTTAGATTATATTTTAAGAATAATATCCCATAATAACGGCTGTAAATACGAGCTAAAACAATCGATGGTCGATAAAACATCGATATTTCCGAAAACTACACATCGATGCTTCCATCCACGCTTTGCCACCTCTATCAACGGCAGATTTTTTTTTGTTTTTGAATTGAGCGGTTGTGCGCGCGTCGATCGCGGTCTCGAAATCGGTTTGCATCGCTAAAACGATCAAAGTGAATCAAAATACGTTCTGCGTTCTTTAAAAGTAAAATAATTCGCCAAAGTGCAAGAATCACGTTGAAATACGGGCGAAAAGTGCCTTTTTATAACCAAGAGTTCCGTTCCGAGTTGGTAACACACATACCAACGCGTAGGACCGAAGCACACGCACACGAATGCGCGCGCTTCCAGGTGTGCGTGTAACCACAAAATCGAAAGGTGTGTGAGTGGAGTGGAGTTTATAAAATACTGGGTGATTCACGGAGAAGTGCTCACAAAAGTGCTGCTGCGGCTGAAAAAGAGAGTCTGAGATGGCGGATCGCCGCTAGAGGAGGAGAGTGTCCATCCGAGAGTGTCCCAACCAGAAGCCACTGCATCATAATGGCCGGCCAAACGACCAATACCAATACCAATCCCGCCCAGCAACAGACACACCAGCAGCACAAGCGAAAATGCCGCGATCTCGGCCGGCGCCTAATCCCCGCGAGACTCCTGCTGGGCGTCCTCGTGGCCATCAGCCTCCTTGCACCCGCCCTCGCACTCCAGTCGCCGCCGGACAAGAACTTCTCCGGCGACAACCGCAAGCCCGCCTTCCGCAACTGCGCCGGCTACGCCCCGAAGGTGAAGGAGGAGCAGTCGGAGAACACCTACGTGCTGACCGTCCAGGCCGACGACCCCGATCCCGACCAGACCATCCGCTACAGCCTCGTCCAGTCGCCCTTCGAGCGGCCCAAGTTCTTCATCCACCCCACCTCCGGCGTGATCACCACCACGCACACCTTCGACCGCGACGAGCCCATCCACGAGAAGTTCGTCTTCGTCACCGTCCAGGCCACGGATAACGGCCTTCCGCCGCTGGACGACGTCTGCACCTTCAACGTGACCATCGAGGACATCAACGACAACGCGCCCGCCTTCAACAAGGCGCGGTACGACGAGTCCATGTCGGAGAATGCCCAGGTGAGTTGCTCTTCCCCTTCTTGCTCTTGCCACTGCTGCTGGCCAAACTCGCGGACCCCGGATTACTGCGGTTTGGCCAAGTCAGTGGGTCGGCACTAGAGTGATGTCATTCCTTCGTATTTGCCCCCCATCCGTGATGTCATGTACCTAACTCAATTGTCTTCGGAATACTGGGAAATACTGGGAAAAGGTTTTGGTTAGGTTCAGGTAATATTATTTAGGGATTTTACATTTATATCATTTCTAGGAAGAGTTTAGTAAAAGTTTAGAAAAATAAAATTCAGGTTTTTGAAAGAAATGTTATTTTTCACAGACTAGCAATCTATTGGTTTTTAAATTTATAAAATTTCTAAGAAAGGTTTTCTGAATATTGCATGGAAAATCTTAAGAAAATCTTTCAAAAAATCCAAGATTTAGTTATGTAGAACTTATGATTTTAATACAGGGCAAAAATGTTTTTTACAACAGTAAACCAAAAAATGTATATTTTAAAAGTTTATTCCGGAGAGCTGAAAATCTCTTTCTGACGAAAGTTGGAACATAATATTTGGGAATTGGTTGGGGGGAGTGTTCATTATTGCGAGCTAGCTACTACTAGTTAAATTGAATGATAGAAAATTATAAAGTCTACAAACAATGGACTTTTAGGTATTATTTTTCCGCGAGTGCTGGCTTTTATGGGTCATTGCCACTTGCAACCTCCATCCCCTGCCCACCTGGCATTCCCTCAGACTGCCTTAGTCTCCAACTGTCGCACGTCCTGCAGTTTGTGCGGCGCTAATTAACCACTTGGCCAGTTCATGGGCGAACATCTTCTTGGGCGGAACTAGCAACTAGTTTTCGCTTGGCGTAGGAGGGCCACTCAACCACTCGACCACTCGGAGACGGGTTTTGGGTTCATTGCTCGTTCGCTCGATACTGGAAACCTTGAAACCCTTTCCAACGCCCTGGGCCGCCTTTTCTTCTACGCCATTTCCATGCTTGCAACTAGAAAAACTTGTCGTCGAGCCAAATAACCAAGGGCAACCAATCAGCTTAGCGGCGCGGAGGTGGGAAAACTAAATTTACCTAAATGCTTGTAAAAGTAGTTATTTAGGAACTAATAATGGGAAAATTATATTAAAGTTATTTATATAAGAAGATAAAAGACGCTTAAAAAGTTGGGAAGATTTTTTATTTTATTTATTAGAATTTCTTAGATAAAAAGATTACAAAAATAATTACCTATGTAAAAAAAAAATATTTTAACAAAGCAAACATTTTATTGAAGCATTTACAATTAAGGCTTGGAAGAATATCGACAGTTTTCTATATCGCGATATTTAAAAGGAGATTTCCCTTGAAAAAATCTAAATTATCGTATCAATATCGAAAATATCGATCATTTTCAGGCTCTAGTTCACAAGCATCATAAATTCTTCGAATAAATATTTTAACTTTTAAAAACTTACATATGGAAAAAGACCCTAAAGCAGCCCAGGAATAACACTACCTTTCTTTTTATTGATTTCCTCTTCAAGCCCCCCACCAAATGATGTTTATTTTAGCAACGCTTTGTCGTCAGTTAAATTTCCGCGAAAAGGTTTCAGTTCGACTTAGGCTTTGGCTTAGGTAGCATTAGAAAATATAAAAGGTCGAGGGACATGTGTTGGCTGGTTTGGGCAAACTTGCAGGAAAGTTAGCAGAGAGTAGCAGAAATCCCCCAAATACCCCTGGCTTTATCCACTACCTTCTACTTGCAGCCCGACGCGGTGGTGATGTCCATCAGTGCCAGCGACTTTGACGACGGCAACAACAGCTTGGTGGAGTACGAGATTCTGCGGGAGCGCGACTTCCAGTACTTCAAGATCGACAAGGAGTCGGGCATCATCTATCTGAAGCGGTCGATCGACAAGCGACCCGGCCAATCGTACGCGATAATAGTAAGGGCCTATAATGTAGTGGATCCGCCGCAGGATGCGCAGATAGAGGTGCGCATCCGGGTGGTGGAGTCCTCGATTAAGCCACCTTCGTTCGTAAATCCCATCGACACACCCATCTACCTGAAGGAGAATCTCAAGAACTTCACCCATCCGATTGCCACGCTGCGGGCCGTTTCCAATATGCCGGACAAGCCGGAGGTGATCTTCGAGCTGAACACCGGGCGCACGGAGCAGACGAACAGCAAGAACACCTTTGTGTTCAACCAGATCGGCAACGAGGTGACCATTAGCCTGGGCAAGACCCTCGACTACGAGGCCATCACGGACTACACGCTCACCATGATTGTGCGCAACACGCACGAACTGGGCACCGAGCACCAGATCAAGATCCAGGTGGAGGACGTCAACGACAATATACCCTACTACACGGAGGTCAAATCGGGCACGATTCTGGAGAACGAACCTCCTGGCACGCCGGTGATGCAGGTGCGCGCCTTCGACATGGACGGCACGGCGGCGAATAACATAGTCTCCTTTGAGCTGGCCGACAACCGGGAGTACTTCACCATCGATCCCAATACGGGTAATATTACAGCCTTGACTACTTTCGATCGGGAGGAGCGTGACTTCTATAACGTCAAGGTGATTGCCAGCGATAATTCACCCTCCAGTTTGTTTGACAACGGGGAGCCTAATCGGGGCCACCAGGTATTCCGCATTGCCATCGGCGACAAGAACGACCACAAGCCGCACTTCCAGCAGGATAGATATTTAGCGGAGCGACTGCTCGAGGATGCCAACACGAATACGGAGGTGATTGAGGTGAAGGCCGAGGACGAGGACAACGCCTCGCAGATCCTCTACAGCATCGAGAGCGGCAATGTGGGGGATGCCTTCAAGATTGGCCTGAAAACAGGCAAGATCACCGTGAACCAGAAGCTGGACTACGAAACTATCACGGAGTACGAACTAAAAGTACGCGCCTTCGATGGCATCTACGACGATTACACCACGGTGATTATCAAGATAGAGGATGTTAATGACAATCCGCCGGTGTTTAAGCAGGACTACAGCGTGACCATCCTGGAGGAGACCACCTACGACGACTGCATTCTCACTGTGGAGGCCTACGATCCCGATATCAAGGATCGCAATGCGGAGCAACACATTGTGTACTCGATTCACCAGAACGACGGCAACCGCTGGAGCATCGACAACAGCGGCTGCCTGCGACTGCTGACCACGCTGGACCGCGATCCGCCGAATGGCCACAAGAACTGGCAGGTGCTGATCAAAGCGAACGATGAGGATGGCGTAGGGACATCAGTAAGCGCCGTGAAGGAGGTGACGATTACGCTGAAGGACATCAACGACAATGCTCCCTTCCTGGTCAACGAAATGCCCGTCTACTGGCCGGAGAACCGCAATCCCGGCCTGGTGGTGCAGCTGCAGGCGAACGACTACGACGACACCCCGGGTGCGGGCAACTTCACCTTCGGCATCGACAGCGAGGCCTCCGCGGACATCAAGACCAAGTTCAGCATGGACGGCGACTACCTGCACGCCAATGTGCAGTTCGATCGGGAGGCCCAGAAGGAGTACTTCATCCCCATTCGCATCAGTGACTCTGGTGTTCCCCGCCAGAGTGCCGTGAGCATCCTGCACCTGGTCATCGGCGATGTGAACGACAATGCGATGAGCGAGGGCTCGTCGCGCATCTTCATCTACAACTACAAGGGCGAGGCGCCCGAGACCGACATTGGTCGCGTGTTCGTGGACGATCTGGACGACTGGGATTTGGAGGACAAGTACTTCGAGTGGAAGGACCTGCCGCACGACCAGTTCCGGCTGAATCCGAGCACCGGAATGATCACCATGCTGCTGCACACCGCCGAGGGAGAGTACGAGCTATCGTTTGTGGTCACCGAGGAGTCGATGTTCGTGCCCCGTCACTCCGTGGACGCCTATGTCACCGTGGTGGTGCGCGAGCTGCCCGAGGAGGCGGTGGACAAGAGCGGCAGCATCCGGTTCATCAACGTGACCAAGGAGGAGTTCATCAGCGTGCCGCGCGACATTCAATCCCCCGAGGCGCTCTCCCTCAAGGATCGCCTGCAATTGTCGCTTTCCAAGCTGTTCAACACCTCCGTTTCCAATGTGGACGTGTTCACGGTGCTGCAGAACGAGAATCGCACGCTCGACGTGCGCTACTCGGCACATGGATCACCGTACTACGCCCCGGAAAAGCTCAACGGCATCGTGGCCCAGAACCAGCAGCGCCTGGAGAACGAACTCGATTTGCAGATGCTGATGGTGAACATCGACGAGTGCCTCATCGAGCGCTTCAAGTGCGAGGAATCCTGCACCAATGAGCTGCACAAGAGCTCGGTGCCGTACATGATCTACTCGAACACCACCTCGTTCGTGGGCGTGAATGCCTTTGTGCAGGCCCAGTGCGTCTGCGAGGCTCCTTTGATGCGGCCCTGCCTCAACGGAGGATCGCCGCGTTTCGGGGAGAACGATGTGTGCGACTGCATTGATGGGTTTACCGGACCCCACTGCGAACTCGTTTCCGTGGCCTTTTACGGCTCTGGTTATGCCTTCTACCAGCCCATTGCCGGCTGCAATAACACCCAGATCAGCTTGGAGATCACGCCGCAGATCGACGAGGGTCTGATCCTGTACCTGGGCCCCCTGAACTTCAATCCCCTGCTGCCCATCTCCGACTTCCTCTCCCTCGAACTGGACAACGGCTACCCCGTGCTGACGGTGGACTACGGCTCGGGGGCCATTCGCATTCGCCACCAGCACATCAAGATGGTGGCCGACCGCAGCTACCAGCTGGACATCATCCTGCAGCGCAAGAGCATCGAGATGACGGTGGACAACTGCCGGCTGTCCACCTGCCAGACGCTGGGCGCGCCCATCGGACCGAATGAGTTCCTCAACGTGAACGCCCCGCTGCAGCTGGGTGGCACGCCGGTGGACCTGGAGCAGCTGGGCAGGCAGCTCAACTGGACGCACGTGCCCAGCCAGAAGGGATTCTTCGGCTGCGTCCGCAACCTGACCATCAACGAGCAGACCTACAACCTGGGCATGCCCTCCTACTTCCGCAACATCGACAGCGGCTGCCAGCAGTCGGTGGCCGTGGCGTTTAGCTTCGGCATCGATCGCAACTTCATCATCGCGATTATCGTCTGCCTGGCGCTGCTCATGATCATCCTGCTGGCCGTGGTGGTGCAGAAGAAGCAGAAGAACGGCTGGCACGAGAAGGACATCGACGACATCCGCGAGACGATCATCAACTACGAGGACGAGGGCGGCGGCGAGCGGGACACGGAGTACGATCTGAATGTCCTTCGCAGCCAACCGTACGAGGAGAAGCTGTACAAGGACCCCTATGCGCTGCAGTCGAGCATGCGGGATCCCAACGAGATACCGGACATCGCCGACTTCCTCGGCGACAAGAAGGAGAACTGCGACCGCGACGTGGGCGCCACCACGGTGGACGATGTGCGGCACTATGCCTACGAGGGCGACGGCAACTCCGACGGCAGCCTGTCCAGCTTGGCCTCCTGCACCGACGACGGCGATCTCAACTTCGACTACCTGTCCAACTTTGGGCCGCGCTTCCGCAAGCTGGCCGACATGTACGGCGAGGAGCCCTCGGACACGGACTCCAATGTGGACGACGACCAGGGCTGGCGCATCTAGGAATCTTCGCCAGCAGACGTAGAAATTGAAAAGACTTTTTATATGCTAAGAGTTGTACGGATGTTGATAGTGTCAAGGGACGAGGAGCCGGCCTAGCCGGTCCCAAAGTCGGGATTCAATACCCATATGGGTAAACTATATATTATATATATATATATTTTTATGGAGGAGTTTTGCAAGGGCCCGGGGGAACAAGTTTTTGTTTTTTGTTTTGTAAATGCAAAAAGTGATCTTGATCTTACGTAAATGAACTATTTAAACTAGCGCTAACACTAATTTGTAGCCAAGCAACTGCGAACAAACCACAAACTTCTGCAGACTTCTTGTTATTGCTTCGATTCCACACACAAACGAGTTAGAAATACAAATGATCGAAATAGAAATGTCCGAAATATTCCTATAAAGCGAATTCGAAATCAGTATGCTTAAGAATTCATAATACCAACCCTAGTTAGTAGGCTATTTTAGTTGAACATACATTACACAACAAAGTATGAAGAATTATATCGCATTAGCTCTTCGACAGACAGATCTTCAATTAGAAAGGAAATAAACACAAAATCAAAGCTGAACTAAATTCGATAAGACAAGTCGGTACATCTAAGTTAACACAGTAATCTTAATTTATCTAGAACTTTAAACCCTATCAATATCAGTATAAGTTCTTGGGGTTGTCTTCTAGTACATGTATAAATCAGTTTAACCTAATCTAAACTTATCCAATCGAGAGGGAGCCCCGAAGTTCCGAGACTTCCTGTAATTATGAACGTAACACGCGTGCAGATATATATCCATGTTATATTAAAAGGGATATATGATATATATATTCAAATACATATATATGTAAGTGAAAATGTTCAATAAATCAATGCGATATGTATTTTTGTAAGTCTTTTCCCATAGCCGCTAAGAAGAGTCTTAAGAGCCGCAAGCTGACATTTATTACTGTTAAGGAATAATAGAAAAGTTGAGATACTTTATTTATATACAAGGTACATATTAATTGTGTAATTTACAACAAACGAAAGAGCCACACAAACACACATCAATTGTGTTAAAATAAAAAATATAATAAAATCGAATACATTTCCGTGTTGATCACTTAAAGCGGGCGGGAGATAAGCGATTGGGAAAGCGTTATGTTCGATTGGAGGTGCATTATATAGGCATCTCAGCTACCCTTGGTATTATTAGAACTACACAGGAAAAAATTGACAAAAGATCAGATTGATATGTACTGGTGAATTTTATTTTGTTTTGAGATCAAGTTATTCATATCATTTTGACATGAATAAAGATTTAGCTTATCTTATTTTACATTAAATGTTCAAAGAATACTGAATTTGGTATTTTATATGATGCGATAAATTTCTCATAAGTCATATCCGTTTTTTGTTGACATGAAATAAGGTACAGTTACAGACCCTATTCATATCGAGTTTTGTTTTCTATGCAATGAAAATGTACACAATAGCTCAAGCTAGTTAATAACTGTGCCAGACGAATAGAAATATATTTGTCTGAGTATATACTATGTAGACATTTATATAAATGGTAAGTCATTGACTGGAGGCGTCGGCGTTCGCGTCGGCTACTGTAAACTGTAAGCGGAGGAAAAGCGTCATTATCTTATCAGCGGAAAGTAGGTTACGCTTGCCTTTGGATTCGTTCGTTCGTTTTCCAACAAAATCGATTGCGGCACAAGTCAATGGACAAAATTGGAGCGGTTCATTGGGTAAACAAGCGGCAAGTGGGCAAGAAATTGAAGGAAAAAATGTGTATTCATTGCAGCAGGTGCACTTTTATTCCACACAGCTGCGTTTTGTATCTATGATCGCTGACGCAGAGAACTTCATTAAGATTTGCATGGCCGATATGTCAAGGCATCCGAGGGTATCTGTTAGATATGAGTTTCCAGCCAGATGGATGTGCTGCAGCTGCTGTCTAGATGTCCTTTCAGGCTGAAAATTAATGAGTCTTGGTATGAAACCGAAATAAATCAAAACTCCCTCTTCATTTATTTTAAAGCACAAAAGAGTTTACAAGAGTTGTGTGTGTTTTCCAGGGAAATTAAGTTTCAATTGACCCTTCAAACATATCAAAACATTTTAAAAGCCAAAAGAAACTTGAAGTGTCTTTCTTTCGAATTTATCACTATGTATAGATGTCAAGGGTCCATCAAATATTCAAATTTCGGATCAATTAAATGCACCCTCAACCTCAAGCTTCGAGTACTTTGAAAGACCATAAAAAACCCTAAAAATTTCTTGGTATCGAAATGTGTAGATTGCGGAAATGCCCGCCAGAAAAAATCGATCTACCGACGACAGATGTCTTTTCAATTTTTCGTTTTAAGACTCAAATTCCAGTAAAAGCAAAAACAAGACAGAAAAGAAAAAATTTGTGCCGGACATGCCGACGTGAGGTTTCACCGGCAACAACATGTGGCTCTGAGCTGAAAGATCCAAAAGGAAGCTCCGCAGAACAGGCGAAAATCGGCAAGAAAAATGGTTGAGTAATCAAATAACCTCTTCTGGCTACCTGCGCAGCTGCAGCTGCCAACGCACTACTCATCCTCAGGTGTGTATGGGCCCGATTCTTTAGTTATAACCCCTGGGATGTTTGGCCAGTGGATTAACATAGCGTAGAGAAAGAAAGAGAGGAGAAATCGAGATCCCAAGAGGAACCAAGAAGAACCCAAGCCAAGATGAGAGCTACCTGAGAGCCCAGCTCACCTCACTCACACCCTCAGATATTCCCGCATTCAGATACAGATACAGGTACCAGCTGTACTAGAGATACGCTCAGATACTCACCCATACCTGGGCGAATTTTAACGGAAAAATGAAAGCAAATCTTTGTAGCCAGCAAGTTGGCTTCAGGAAAAACCAGTATTTCCGAAGCGGCTCCGATCGAGGTGTGTATCTGTTGGCCGGAAGACTCTCTTCGACTGAGACTCTCATGTTCATGCTCTTCGTGTTCAAGTTGCAGCTACCCAATGTTTTCACTCAAGACTGTTCTTCAGATACAGAAATACCAACTGACTCAAAGTTTTTTGCCTTCTTATAGCTTTTACTTGGAAGTTTATGTTGAGGTTTTTATTTTGCGGATTTATTGGTTGCCATTGGAGGTTCTTTTACTACAGCTTATAACTTAATTGTGTTTCTTAACTACCTATTAAACGTTGTTCTTAAACACCCAAGCTATTAAAAATATTGATTTCATTTCAGAAGTCAAATCGTCTTATTATTATAAGTTTAATATTCAATATATCATCTTAATGTATAAAATTCTCGTTAACATTTTAGGGACTTAGGACTTAGGAGAATTTTTTAAACCTAGATAGTGAGACTTTCGGATTCCAACTACTCTACTCCAAACTCAAACTCACCTCTTTCTGTCACGCACGAATCGAACGACTCCCGCGTCTTTCTGCAGACACAGAGATAGAAACAGAAACAGCTAAAGATACAGATACTGCCACAGCTGCCAATGGATATATACATAAGTATTGATGGGGCACGTCTTGGCGTTTTACTACCTGTTGATGGGGAAAGATGCTGCTGCCAAGGTCTCGCTTTGATTAATTACGGTGGAACGGAGTGGAGTGGAGCGACCATGAGCGGAATGTCCACGGATGAGCCGTCGAATGCAAGACGGCCGGGATGCCCATTAACACTCGCTGACTATTCATCACAGTTTCAATTACCAGACTGGCCAGACAAACCGACTACATTGATTTGAATTATTGAAGAGGGCATCGCCGTAAACACTGATATTATGGGCCAGTTCATTACACTCTGCAAGTGAGCGTAAGTAGTATATCATTATTTTTCATTCGGTGGGCCATGAATCCCTTTTGTCAACCCATACTTTTCATAGCTCGTTATATAGTCCAACTAAAAAATAACAATATGTTTATTTTTTATTTTTTTTATAGCTGTCATAGACCAACTCATTTTGCAAAAAATCTATTTGATATATTGCTGCGGAAGTAATGGTGACTCCCTTCATTTTCCTTATCTAAAAGACACTTTACCTTTCATATAAAAATGTGAACCCCAGGCTTTAAAGTCAAAGAATAATAAAATGTTATATGATGTTTTAAATTTTATGATAGGGTTATAATTTATTTTATAAGCTATTAATTTGATAATTTTTAAATAATAAAAAATTATATAGGTAGAGTTTCCCGTTTCCGCTGTGAATATACTCGCAGTAAATAGATACCAGATGATCTAGAGATTTTCGCAAATTAATTCCTCCCTCTTCCGCAGGCAGTTTATAATTATTTCCCGTGACCCCGGGGCATTTGACCAATTCCAGTTCCTTTGGTCGTTCTCCTCCAATGAGCACACACTCCGAGAACCCAGAACCCAGAAACCCATGGGAAAATGCAACGTTTGGCTGCTCGGATCTGGGCGGAATATGCACTTATGCACTTACATGATATATGGCGACCGCAAACGGTTTCCCTTGGCCATCTTATCACCATGACGCCTTGTACGGCACTAATAACTCTATGAAGTCGGTACGTGGCTTCTGTGCTAAAACGCTTATTAGTTGGCCCGCCGATCCCGAAGAATCGGAATGCATAATGATGAGGCAGCCCGGCCTGGTCATAAAGGGAAATTTTCGAAGAGAAGACGATAAAATGCTGACCATCGGGACGTGCCCGCTTGGAGTCGATTCTTTGCGATCATCGATGCCCGGCACGTACTTGCGCCTGATTTGTGGCGATCAGCAGGGATCGCTTGAAAAACACTCGTGGCAGAAATAACAGGCCCGGGATTAGAGGAACCATAACCACCGAAAACCGATTCTCGGAATGCAGAAAAAATAGCAAACAAGGTGAGCAAATTCACACTCAACCACAGACTCATACCCATACTTACACTCATATCTTTTTTCCCCTGGCTTTCGTATTTGGGTTTCTGTGCAGGTGCTTTGTCTCCATTCCATTGCTCGGCTGAAAGCCGAAACACTTTGAAAAAATACTGCAATCAAAGCAGAAAATATGGTCTTAAACTAGTTTCGCCACGTTTTCGCTGAAATTGAGACCGGCACTTGACTTGACACTAACGCTGGCCAAATATCAGAAGGCAGAAGGCCAGGCGGTCTAAACAAAAACAGAACTGAGCAAAGCAAAAATCAAGAATCAGCAAAAAAAAAGAGAAGAATGCTCAAAAAACTTTTAAAATCTAATGCCATATTTTTGTTTGGTTTATTAAAAAATATAGAAATGCTAAACAAATAATTTGGGTAGACTCTTGGAACTAAATAAAATATATACAAATTTAAAAAATTTAGTTCAAATGAAATTCTATTAATTAACATTAAAGCACATAAAGCACTTTATTTTTAGACAATAATAATTATTATTACTGAGAATGCTTTGTGGGGACTAATTCAAATAAATTAAAAGTTCAGGGATAGCTTCATATATTTCGTAATATTAATTAAACTTCAGCTGAGATCTCTTGGCTGATCCACACCCCTTAACTCACACACATTGCCAACTATCAGTGCCAATCTAATCGAATGGTTTTTGCTCAGCAAGCCCACAGAATCGAACATATTGTTCACATTACACACATTCATTAGACATGACATAATATTTGATTAAAAACAAAAGCGGAAATCGGCGAACGTAGATGTAGACCAACTGGCAATATCTCGGGGTGAAGTTTGTTATAAAACTGGAAACATATTGCAGTTGACTACCGACAAACACCAAATCAAAGAGACCCATAAAATGCTGCTGGACTAAAGGAGTGGTAGAAAGTATGACTAAAATATGTATTTTACCGCAAAAGGGTGGCATTCCGAAT